GGGTAAGTGGGGGGGACGAACGCCCGCCACCTACTCGCTGCCCGAATATACTGTTCCAGCGGGCAATCGGCGGGCAGTGGTCTGCCAGCCAGGCACCCGCTGGAACAATGAGTAGTCGCCGGCGGGTGGTCCTCCACCCACCACCCACCCGCTGGAAACTTGCCGTGGTTCGTGATGTTTTTCCCTGTTTGATGTTTCCCCGTGTTCCGTTGTGGCCCGTTGTACCCCGTTTGTCGTGTATGAGTCCCGTTTTATGTTTTGAATACCGTTCTAGGAATTTGTGTAGTACGTGTCGTTGTTGTTATGTTTTGATTGTTATTGATTGATTATGTGTTGATTGAATGATGATGAGTATCGTGGTCATTGCGCAATAGCCGATGTGACTAATGATGATGGTGATGATGATGAGATTGTGATTGGTGGAAATGAATTGTTGGCGGTTGGCACCACTTGTGCCCGGTCATTGTACTAAAGGTACAGGCCTAGCGGTTACTGTGCTAAAGGCACAAATCCACCTTAGACCTGCTTGCCGTTGAGCATGGGTCAGGTTATAAGTGCTGCGGTGTCATGTCAGGGCTATATGCGCGGACCCCTTGATATTGGTACTAGATGTGTGGATCATGTGAATGGCACTAGACGTGTGGATCATGTGAATGACACTAGACGTGTGGATCATGTGATCGAATGGCACTGCGGCACCATCTTGATATGTGGTGGTTGAAAGGTGGTTTGTCGGTGGGGGCATGTAGTTGCCTGGAGGAATAAGGGAGGCGATATAAGGGTGGCCTGGAGGTATAGGTTGGAACTGGTATAAGGACGGAGGGGAGCTACAAGGTTGGAAGATGGATTGTGTGCTTTGATGATTACTTGCTAACTGATTGCCTTGAATGCCGTTGTTGTCTCTATTTGTTATTTATATGCTTGTCTGTCTATTATGCCTTGTATCGTGTTCTTAGGACACATGCTAGTCTTTATGATTGTTCTATAATATCGAGTCTATTGTTGTGTCTTGAGTCTTGATCTTGGATTTAAATTAGAGTCTCGTAAGTTATATATGTATTCCAGTTTCAAAATGATTTTCTTATATCTACTTATATTGTAGTTAACGCGTTGGAGTGAGTTACCAGCATTATTCGCTGACGGTTGTTACACCGAATGTTTTTCAGGTGATGAGCATTAGCTACGGAGCACGCTAGTCAGAACTTTGGACTTAGCTTAATTAGCTCTAGCATAGTAGATGGCATGCATGCCTTGGATTGCATTTGAATATTGATTTATGGATTAACCATACTCGATTAGTTTAGCCTGTGCATCTAGGTTCTCAAACCTAGGTGTGGCATAGCACCCCGACACTTATGGATAGTTTATGCTCTGTTTGGGATTTAAATATTAGATTCGCCTTTATTTTATAAGTTTTAAATATCTTAAAATTCAGGGGTGTTACAGTTGGTATCAGAGCCTAAGTTCGACCCTAGGATAAGACCCCTAAGACAAAACTTTAGGGCATTAAGTTCAGACTCTAGGTGCTTAAGTACATTAGGTCTAGGAAACTTAGGACGCGCGGTGAGGCAGTGAGTTTATTTAACGTTACTAGATAAAGAATTCTTTCTCCAGAGCAGGGAAAATAGGATAGAAATGTTTATTGATTAAAAAAGAGACGAGCATACATCATGGGAACACTGGCCCTGGTACAGACTAGAAACACAAAAGGAAAGCAGGATCATGACTTGGCCTGCTCCTCGGATGGACGAGAACGAGACCCCGCAGCAGGTGGAGGAGGACCTTCCAGAAATAACTGAGGTCGGAAAGGAGCCGGAACTGGAGCTTGATTTGGTATGTCGTCTACGTAAACCGGCGGCTCCCCATCATCTATCATTTGGAGAGGCCTTTCCTGGGCACTGGAAGACATGGCCACTCCAAAAAGAAGAGGAACCTCCCATACTTCTTCCTCATCCATCGGCGGCTCGCTTATCACCGGGTCCACTCTCCGGCTGGCAGGATCCACCGGGACTACGTCCAGAACGTCCGGAGAAACCACGATGGGGTCTGAGCCTGAGTCGCCCACCAAGTGACCGCCGTGTGCCAGCCTCCGCTGCCTCAGCTCTTCCAGTCGAGCTTGCTCTTTCAGGCGAATAGAGGAATGCTGTTCACCATCCCTGTAGCTCATATCGAAGGAAAGGAAATGGTAACGGTTGCAAGGGGTACAAGGAAGAAAGGTGAGAAAGATAAGGAAAAAGAAGCCCTATTTATAGCCGGGCCATGCGAGTTTTTCGGAGCAAATTGCTGGGGAAAAACAAAACTACCATCACTTGGCAAAAACATAGGGAGTGGTAAAAAATCAGGAATATGCGTCAGTGTAAAATCCCATCAACCCCGCTGGGATAGGGCGAGATTCCTGCCATGACCTGAAAAGTAAATCTCCCTTAGATATGAAGGACCGCAAGTGTCAGACCTCGGGTGGCACGAGAGCCGACCGATAAGTCGGAAGGTAATAGGCATAGTCGTATACTCAAAAGAGAAAGAGGAAAACGTAAAGGCCAAGACAATTCATGCATTTTATTAAGGAAAAAGGGGGGGTCTAGTACATTGAGAGAAGGGGGGAAATTTATTTATGCTTAGTAAATTCCCCCGCGATCCTTTACTCGTCCTCACTCATCATCACACTTAATCGCTCAGATGTCTCAGGCTGCGCGACTCACTTCTCCCGCGAAGATGGCTCATCCAGAAAAGCCATCTTGTCCGATGAACCAGAACCAACAAGAAAAGGGCAGACAGTGTCCAAGAAGGCCGGCATCAGAAGCGGGACCACGGGTGCCTCATCATCTGGATACAGCTCCAGGTAGCGTGCATAGTCGGCGTCCGACATCAGGTCAGAGGCTGGTCCTTCAGGATCGTGCAGCGGGATGGTAAAGGTCATCTGGAAAGCTAGTTGTTCCGGGACGGCCACCTCTACGAAGGTCCCATCCTCGGCTGTCACACGAGCCGTGGTCTGGAGAGGAGAAGGGTCAGCGGTCGGAAAAGAAGGATTAGCGGACGGAGGAGGAGCCTCGGTCGTCATCTAGGAACCCAAAGAAGTGGAGCCCGTGGAGTGCTTGCGAGAAGCAGGCTTATGAGCCTTCTTTCTCCCTTTTTCAAACTTCGACCGCTTGGCCGGAGGGGAATGGGACGACGACCTGAAGACGATTTTCTTCCCCTTGATTGGTGGACGACCCATGTTAACAAGGAAGATGAGGAGAAACAAAGGCAAAGACGCCATTTATAGGTTTGAGGAGCAAGGGAGGAGTTAAAGCGGATCAGGAAGATCACGGAGGATCCGGCCACAATCCGGCCATTGAAGAGAAAAGATTGAGGAACGATTCCAGTGATCTGCAGTAAAAGGGCGGATACTTTCCAATATTCGAGTTGAGGAAATTGCTCAATATTGGAAAGTGAGGGACTAGTTGATGGGGGTGTGAACCCCGTGGGCTTGGGGCCCAAGAGGAAGAAGATAAGCTCGAGAAGAAGAGAGGCCCAAAGGGAGAAAAAAGGCCAAGTCCAGAAGAGGAAAAACCCAAGGGAGACAGGGGTTAGAGACAGGAGGTCGGCGCGAGTGCAAGGTCGGCGCAAGTGGGCAGGCAACACGGAGATAGCCGTTAGAGCATTTAAGAGGCCATTTAAGGGGCCCAGCCAGCAAGCCGTTGGGAGGCCCAGTAACGGCAGCCCAACGGCTCTTAGAATTAATAGGTCGATTTATGGCCTTAAATGTATACTTTTGAATGATTCCGAGGAGACCCACTATAAAAGGGGACTCCTCAAGAATGTAAGGGGAACGACAAGATCAGGCCAAAAATACACACATACTTACAGAGCTATTGTTTCCCTTCTATTTCTGAAAGGTGAATCCATCGACTAAGGTTGTGTTGGACCTCCCTGGGCCCAAAAAACTCTAAAACCAACAATGAGTGTGGTAAGAATGTGAATATCACGCCTTATAAAAAGCTTAATTGGGAGTTTGAGGTATCTGGTGGCAACAAGGCCGGATATTTCTTTTGGAGTTGGAATACTTAGTAGATTCATGGAAGAACCAAAAGAATCACGGGCTGCAGCGAAGCGAATTCTGAGATATGTCAAAGGTACGAGTAATGATGAAATTTTTTACTCTACTAATGAAGCTGTGAAACTTGTTGGGTATACAGACAGCGATTGGGCTGGAGATATTGAGACTAGAAAAAGCACATCAGGATATGCCTTCTATCTTGGTTCAGCTATATTTTCTTGGCCTTCAAAGAAGCAGCAAATTGTAACACTTTCAACCGCAGAAGCAGAATATATTGCAGCAAACTGTGCTACTCAAGCAGTTTGGTTGAGGAGAATTTTGGAGTTCTTACAACACGAGCAGGAAGCACCTACGACTATTTTTTGTGACAACAAGTCAGCAATTTCGTTGTCCAAAAATCCAGTCTTTCATGGTCGCAGTAAACATATTGATATCAAGTATCACAAAATCAGAGAGTTGGTTGCTGAAAAACAAATCAACATTGAGTATTGTTCAAGTGAATGTCAAGTTGCAGATATCTTTACGAAGCTGTTGAAGATGGAGACATTTCTTAAATTGAAGAAAGAAATTGGGATGACCAATATATCCAACTTGGTTTAAAGGAGCAATGTTATAATGTTATAATAATAATAATATTATTATAATTAATTAAACCAAGTCAACTAATGCAGTAAATAAACATGCGTGTGTGGTGTGTCATGTATGATTAGTTAATGTGAAGAGTGACCTAGATTATAGCACTACATGAAGCATTAGTTCCCTAATTATTAGCTTTCCTTTAGTATAAATATGTTGCTTTTGTTCATTTATTAATCATCCTAGCAATAAACATTATCTGTTTATTCTCTCTCTCTCTCTTCTCAATTATATATATAAGGAATAAGGGTCAAATAAGTCATCCAACTACACACCAAAATGCAATTAGGACACCAAACTCAAAAAAACTACAATTAGGTCCCTGAACTACACAAATTCATACAATTTTACAAAAAAATGACTTGTTTACCTGTTGTGTGGGTTACAAATTAAAAATAATTTTTAAACTTTTATTTTAATAATTTTAAATAATAAATTTTTTAAAAAAAAAACTGCCGGAGACGAAGGGGTCTCCGGCTGTTTTTTATTTTATTTTTATTTTTTTTTATTTTTAATTTTAAAATAAATTTTTAGTTAAAATTATTAAAATAAAAGTTAAAAAATTATTTTTAAATTTGATAATCGACACGTCAACATATCAATAGGTAAACAAGTCATTTTTGGAGAAATTGCATAAATTTGTGTAGTTCAGGGACCTAATTGTAACTTTTTTGAGTTGGATGGCCTAATTGCATGTTGGTGTGCAGGATGGCCTATTTGACCCTTATTCTTATACTAGTTTTGACCCGCGCTTTGCGCGATTAGACCAATGCCCAATGTGTATTTATAAATTAGTGTTCCTTAATTGGTTAAAGTATTCATATAATAATGAGAGAAAGAAAAATGCGAAATGAATAAAAGATAAAGAAATAATCTTAGTGCTTATATATTTTAATAAAAAATAAAGAAATTTGAAATAGCTAAAATAGAATTAAAGTAAGTAAAAACAAATAAACCACTAACTAAAGCTGACTATCTATAATGAAAAGAGTAGTAATTTGAGCAGAGTAAAATTTATTTTTCTTAGTGCATGTTTGTTGAGGCTCGGAATTGTCTTCTTCTTTTCCATCTTTACTGAAGTTGAGTTTCCTTTTTGCTGGTTGTGTGTTTATTGCATGTTGTTTACTCGTGGTAGTGAATGACAATGAATCGTGCAATGATGTTATGGTATATGATATCATGTTTTTGCCTTGTTGTGTGTAGGATTGAGACCTCAATTGTATTATATATTCTTCATCTTGTAAGCGGTTATTGATATGTTAAAATCGTAGTTGTTGACCCTGCAAGATGTTTATGTAGTTAGTCATAGGTTAATTTACTATAAAACATGAGTGATTGTGGGTGGTAAAGGATGAATACCTGTTGTTCCAATTGCATAACTTGTTTGCTCGTAAAGAGTAATAGTTGTTCAACACATTTTATAAACACAGATGCAACAAGGCATCCACTTCCATCAGTAATTTCCACATCCAGTTTACACCTATTATGAATGTTTAGATTAGCATTGTTGTATTATGTTTGTGTAATGATTAAATTGATACTGACCTCCTTCTAACAAAAAAGAAAAGAAAAAACTGTGTATAAAAATTGTTACTTACCGTGGTGTTCCCACTGCATTCAATTCACCACAATGCATGCAATTAAATTGTATCACTTTCCGCGTAAACCTTTTTCATACAATGACTACATCCAATGTACAATGTGTTTTTTATCCGATGCTTAAAGCTGATTTTCCCTTTTATCCAATCAGGTTTAATCTACAAGTTGTCATGAGTAAAAAAATGAATATTAATGTTAAATATAAAATATTGAATTATTGTGTAAAACCTATTATATATATACCAGATCAATTGATGGAGGGATATTAGCAATTGTAAAAAATTTTGCAGTTTCTGGATTTGCAAGTTTTATTGCAACGTCATTGTAGTCTCGACATCGTTTTAATGCATATAGTGTAGCACGATGCTTTGTTCCCCTAATAATATATACAAAAGAAATGTATTTTTAAAATAATGTGTGCGAGTGAGTGTGTATATAATTCATATTATTTTATATTTTATTACACGTGGGGAATCACAGTTTGCTGTTTGAGATAATTGTATGACCATGTGCTTAGTTATTATTTTCATTATTATAACATTTACTCTGATTTCATAATGTACTTTTGCCGCGACGTTTTTCGTTAGCAGGATCCATTGTTGCATAAGCATTTCAGCGTCTCAAGTTCCTCTCTGCACGTAGACTCTCATTACAAGCATACCGCTCCCTATAAATAAATAAAGGAGTGTGCAACACAAAACGGAAAAACCATTTATTATATTATAGGTGTGAATAATACATATACCTTTGCATTTTTAGCTGTGAATTCTAAAGCCTACAAAATCAATTCCATAGAAAAAATAAGTCCACACAGAACCCCTAATGGGCATCATTTGCGTTAAATAGGGAAAAGTCGGGGACACCGGGATACAAGGTTATTAGAATGTAATCAACTATCCTTACAGTAGTATACCAGGACTATGTGGTCCAATGGTACCCGGGTTGGACTTCCATTTGGAAGATTATGAGTTTGAGCCTCAGTGGAGGCGTTATTAGCTCTTTGTGTTTCAGTAGGTTGAGAAAGTATATGAACAGATACTACATTGTAATAGAGCTAGTAGCATTCAAAAAAGTATTGCATTATCAAAATAAATATAATAGCAAATGTATATACTACTAAGTATAACGTAAAATTTACTGTTTTCACAAGTCAAACATATCAAGAACCCACACAGTACAACTTATTACTGCAATTTAAGATTATGGAATATGCCTTCCCTACCAAAATATCATACCTGGCTTCCCTCTTATGGAAGGCCAGCCCTCAATATTCATTGATCTTGTAAGGGTTTTCATGCAAGTTATGATGCAAGCACCACTTCCCCCTAAGGAAAGACATCTACCACCTTCACCACCTCACCCCACCCAATAAATTAAAAAAAAAAAAAGGCATCAGGAAACAGTCAATCCATGTTCAGAAAAGTGAAGTGAAACAAAATACCACCATCTAATTTAATGAGATACCTTGCTGAAGTAACCAGCCAGCAGAGCACTGTGAGGACGCACAGGTTCCAAAAATGAGAATAGCAAGTTCATTAGCTGCCAATCAAAATTAAAAGTCTATTTAAAAGCATTTTCTTCCAAATAAGAATAAATAAAGCACAGTGAAAACATGTATTGTCACCTCTTCATCATCAACCAAAGCTTTGAGAATTATATCAACCTCACAAGTAAAAATTTCACAAGCAATAAAAGGAAACATATTCACCCACATGAACCCAAAAAAAAAATTAGAACAATACAACATATTCAAGATAATGTAAATATGCAAGAAATTAATAGGCAGAGCAAAGATATTTTTTAAGTAACTCACTTAAATTTTCGTTTTTTCTCAGTTTCATCTGCAGCCTCTTCCACTATATATCTGACAAGTTGTTCCACTTGACTTCTCTCCCGTAAACTTCCAGATATCCCACAAGTGAAAACAAATATTTTAGAGTGGCAGTAAATAGAAAGTTTACAAGGAAACAGCTCAAAGAATTTATATTTACAAATTTCAACATGAGAGATAATATTGTAATAAGGTAGGAACAAAGTGATGAAGACACGAGCCTTTATGTGTGAGGTGGTGCCTTAGAAGGTGGGGGTAGTGAGCATTTAGCATACATACCATAATTAACCAGCAACTAACTAAATGGACAAAGGCTGAAAGCATTAAAGCACTGCATCATCTAACTATCAAAATTAGATGTTAAAAAAAGTTGAAGATGCATAGTAAGAATATGTACTTACAAAAGACACAACATGAGAGTTAATCAAGCATGTTTACTTTCCATAGTCTAGAGGCAAGTAAGCTGAACATTAGCAGAACAGAGGTAGGTACCTTCCATTATGATCACCTACTGAATTAGAATCACATACTGAATTCTCATCAGCCATACTGTAAGAATATCCACCCTGTGTATCTGCTTGCAAGTTGTGTTCATAGCAATTTCTAATATGAGAAGTAAGATAGGCAATAGAAAATTACAATTCCAGATTTCTACTACTCACTCTCACTCAGGACAAAAAGGAAATCAACCTGCCATGGCACCAGAAAAGCTTTTCTAATTGACCTTCATCATCAACAATACACTCATAGCAGAACATAGAATCTGATCTACTTAATTTTATGATGCAAATCTCAAGTAATGCATAGACAAAATTAAAGCAAAAGCAATGCATTGACAATTCTGCAAGATCACAGAAACTCATACTTGGTATGCTTGAATTAATTGGAGTAATTCATAATCTATACTTGATGTGATTTTGCCTCAATAAACTCAGAATCTATACTTAGAACAAATTAAAACCTAGCAATGCCATACTTAACTAAGAATTAGTTTGAAGCAAATTAAAACAAAATTTAAAGCAAAAACTATAACATACATCCAAACCATTCCAAAATTCTGCACTTTTTTCAAATGAACTAATTAAGTCCCAGCAAATTTGAGAAAATGCTACCCAAAATTTTTACTTCCACATCGAAGCAAAACCCATCTGAAATATCACAGATTTGCATTCCACTCAAGCTACCCCTACTTTCATAGCAAATAGGTAACTTTTCAACCACTAATATGCGATTGCATATGCATAGATCAAAGATGAAACTTTACAAGAATTGAATTATTGTCAAACCATTCAAATCAGTGCCATAGATGTAATTCAATCTCTGCATAATTGTAAATAATTGCATACCAGACGCAAAGAGACCAAATCGGCTTTGTTTACTTTGTTTCTTCGCTGGTGTGTGATTCTTCTTGCTTCTCGTAATTGGCGGTGCTTCTCGTAATTGACGGTCGACTGTGCTTCTCCGCTGGATTTCTCCATCATTAATCGCGGTCGGCTGTGCTTCTATGCTCACCCATCATTGCCGATGAAAGGAGGCTCAGGCGGCAGGCAGTCTTCATCGCGGTAGACCGGAGGAGAAGGGCTACGGAATCTGAGTTCTAGTAAGGTAGCTGGCAGTCTTCATCGGGGTAAAGTGGAGGAGAAGGGCTACGAAAACTGAGTCCTAGTAATTGCCATTTAATTTTACGAAAATTTCAAATTTGCCACCGCTAAACATCTTTTGACAGAATTGTTAAGTTTAACAGTGAAAGTTTGGTATAATTTAGAAGAATGAGGTTATATTAGGAATTTAAGTTGGCATTGTACAATTTAAAAAACGCAAAGTACAGTTTTGTTGAGCATGTGGCGTACCGACATTTTTTTTGTTCCGGTTAAGGGTCTAACAATATTCGCTTTTATTAAAATTGTAGATTAAAATTGTAGATATAAATATATATTATAGATATATTATATTATATTTAATATATATTATATTAAATATATTATATTTAATATATCAAACAAAATATATATATATATATATATATATATATATATATATATATATATATATATATATATATATATATATATATATATATATATATATATATATATATATATATATATATCAAAAGAGTGTTATTCACAATTTTTTTAATCAAAAGTATTAAATAATTAAAATTTTGAAGTATTCAATTCATTTCATTTTCCTACTCATTTTCTGGAAAATGAACCAAACACACAAAGACAATTTTCCGTTGTGTAGCCAAACACCGAAAAGAAAAATATTTTCTAGAAATTGACTCATTTTTCAGAAAACATTTTCTGGAAGTCATTTTCTGAGTTTCCAAACGCACCCTAAATCAAAGGCTGAGATTTATGCGCATTTTTCACTTGGGAGTTCCTTGGTACCTGACCCTAAGCCTAAAAAATTGTCAACAATGCAAAAGCATAATTAAAATATTGGGTCTTATTTTAAATAATTAAAAGAAGATTAATTAAACAAAACAAAAAGGAAAAAAAACATAACCTAGATTTATTTTTAAAAAATGCAAGAAAATGATTTTCAAGGTTCCTTATTTGTAATATTTAATGTTCAACTTTGAATGCTATGTATATGGTCTGTCTAATTAATTGACCAAAGTTCATGTTAAATTTTATATTGTATTTGTTTTTTTTTTTTTTAATATACTCTAACATATCCATAGTATATGTTCAACAATTATGCCAACCCTGATTGAAATGGCATTCGAACCTAAAACCTTCTTAATGGAAATCAATGAGTAAGTTAAGAATAATAAATAGTTAACGGGATATTTCGTTACTAAAGTTTACACTAACGGAATTCGAGGGACCACGTTTTTTTCTTCATTTTTTCATTTTTCTTTTGTTTTTCCTTCATCCGATAGTAATGTTTCTCCTTCTTCATATTAGGGGATGGGTAATACATGTTATGTTTTGAAAATTGAGGGACAACATTTACACTAGAGTTAATTCCAGCAATGGTCCCCTGAGTATGATGATTTTCCATAATTAGTCCTCGACTTTTAATTTGGACAATTTAACCATCTGACTATCAAAATCTTTCCAATTGTAGTCCTTCCGTTAGATCCGGGTTAAATAGACGTTAGTTTGAGGGTTAAAAGTGTCATTCCCCTACTAAGTGTATCAATCCTCTTCGTTGGAGTGGGGGAAGGAAGCCATTAAAGCTGATCTTATTGCAGCAGGGCTCTAGTCAGAATGGGTGGATTTCAGCAAGGCCGCCGCACCAATCACATGAGGACAAGCCATTGAATTAGCAAACAAAATATTGAATTATGCTTTTCTGGTATCCAGATCTAACCCAGTTGCTGGTTTTACTCCAAATATGGTCCCGTAAAGTTAATTGTTGCACTTGCAGTTGGATTTGAAGCTAAGAAAGATTTAATAGCATTACCTTCGTATGATCCAACAGAACAAGCTGATAATAAGTTAGCATCCCCAACAAGGCCATCACCGTTGGACACACCGTTGGCAAGTATCATTCTGATTCCACCGGTTTTCTTCACAACCATTCCCTTGGCTACTCGCGGATTGCTCTCGCGATCACAGATCACGATCTTACCTCTAACTTCATTGGGATCAAGTGAATTTTCCATACACAATGAAGCAGACCCTGCGTATAGTGATACTCCCGAAAACTTCCTACCGTCGCTCAGGATTACTTCCGCTGGGAAATTCTGGTCGATTGTGCCGGTGCCGACTGTCATCAGCCATGGAGCAAGGTTAGTTACGGACATTCCGTTAGGCCCATCGTTGCCAGCTGATGAAGACACAAACACGCCCCTTGAAACGGCGTCGTAAGCTCTAATGGCATAAGATCTAGGTAATACGGCGAAGACACACCGTTGCCTCCTCCAATCGAGATCGAAATGACATCTACACCGTCCACAACCTGACATACTAGCACGGAAAGCATACCTTCCTGCTGCGGTGGAGGCGGTGTGAGTGCCGTGACCGTCGGCATCTCTTGGGGATCAGAACTCAATAGTGTCATTGATACCGCCGCCGATCCGATTCCACCGAATCGCCTGCCTCATGGCCCTTGGAGAAAAACCGAGCTCCAACGATTTTCCCAGTCCAATGGGGAACGAAAATGATTGATACACTCAATAGGGGAATGACATTTTTAACCCTCAAACTAACGTCTATTTAACCCGGATCTGACGGAAGGACTACAATTGAAAAGGTTTTGATAGTTAAGTAGTTAAATTGTCCAAATTAAAAGTCGAGGACCAATTATGAAAAATCATCATACTCGGGGGACCATTGCTGGAATTAACTCTTTACACTACTAATAATTCAAAAATGACATTAATAATTCAAAAATGACATTAATAATTGACATATTTGTCAGGAGCATAAATTACAATTTTTCATTCCGTTTATATTTTGAGATAAACGGAATGTTACGCAATGTACATATTATAACAAAAATTGATGTGATTGCATGATGTGTAGTTAAAAACTCCAAATAATGTTGCTATCCTATCAACTTTGTATTTAAAATAATTACATAAAATTGTCATTCATGTCTACATGACTAGGACATTTAAATTAAAAAAAAAAATAATGTGAAGCCCATAATCATTCATCGCACGATGATTACGTTTAAGAATTTTTAATGTATTAATGTAATGAAAACGACCTACCACTACCGCTGTCTTTTATCATGTTCTTTCAATAGTTTATATATTTTATTTATATTATTATAAACGCATATCAATCTGCTCGTAGTGTCCAGACTTAATCAACGTTGTTTAGATAAGGCCGGTGGTTGAGTCATTTCTTCTTTTGATTTTGACTCTCTCTCTCTCCTCTCTCTTTCTCTCAGCTTTCAGGTGAGCGTAAGGACAATATTACTTGTTTTCAGCTTTAATCTCTTTCCTTGTTCCTGGACTACGCATGATTTTAGTGTGTTCTCGATTGGAGGAGAGTTCATATCTTTGAGGTTGTTGATCCGATAAGTTGTTTTATTTTGTTCTTAATGATGAAATTAAAGTCAGTTTTCATCTTCGGTATTGATTTTGTGATGTGTGTTGACTGCTTCCGCGGTGGATTTGGGGTTAGAGGGGTTTAGGAAACCTCTCCCTATTGATTTTGGATTGGAATTCTGTGTTTTGATTGATCTTAATATCGTTGAACGAAAATTGCACTTTTCTTCTATTCTGAAGTTCCAATCTTGCATACTTATAGCTTGAATTGTTTCTGTGTGGTTGTTTCTCCTTCGTGCTCTGTTGTACTCTTGAGAGAATGAGAGTTCACGCTCATCATGGATTTTATTTTATTGTTTTGCGTGAAAATTTTGCTAATTGTGTGTATAGGAAAAAAAAAAAACCCTTGAGATTTAGGTTTATTGCATGTCAAATCAATATGCATAGTTACAGAAATACAACATACACATGAATATACTTGAGGTTTGAAGGTGGACTTATAATGATTTTGTGGTAGATGTAAGATGAGATTTTGATTTAGTGTGTTCACTGTAGTAGTGTAGTCTCCTAAGCTGTTAATTTCAGTGGATATGTATGATGTAGATATTTTTGACGAATATTTGCTGCTTTGGCATTTGTAGATTCATCTGAAACTGGTAGTAGATGGGATCTGAGGGTCCTCCAGCTGTAACAGTCTATGTTACTGGTTTTAAAAAATTTCATGGAGTAGCAGAAAATCCAACAGAAACGATTGTAAGTAATCTTCAAGATTATGTGAAGAAAAAGGGCACACCCAAAGGGCTCATCCTTGGGAGTTGCACTGTTCTTGATACTGCAGGCCAGGGAGCAGTCGGTCCTTTATACCAGACATTGCAATCTGCTCTGAACAATGATGGGTCTGACTCATCGAATTCCAGAATTATTTGGGTCAGTCTCTTTGACATTTCCTCCTTTCCTAACCACTTGGTTACAAAAAGATGCAATATGGGTAAACATCTTTAAATTTCACTAAAAAAGAGTTAGATAGCCAGCAAATTATGTTACGATTAAAAGTATTATCAGATCAAACTTGTGTTTGGTGCCTGGTGGAAACACAGTTTGATGGTGAATTTCTAGTTTCTTTTGAATTTCTGTCAGATGGCATCTTGGACAAGGCATTATAAAAAACATAAAATCCTCTTTTTTCATTTGGGGATGGAAATATTGGATACTATATTCATAACAAATTAGGCAGTGGAGAATTGTGACAAGGTGGGCCTTCCATGTTACTGCCTCCATCCAACAGTACATGTAAAACAATCCTGGTTCAGCTTGCTGACTTGTGCTTGTTTAACCAATATAATACCCAGACTGCTAATAATATTCAGTATTGGATATTTACATTGTTAAACTTGACTAAATTTTCTATTCCTGATATAGCACCAACAACAATGGACTCAAAGTAACTTCATATGATCATTTCCCTTTCTAACAAATAAGTTTATTTGACATGATTAAAGAAAAGAAACTTTAATTCACCAAAAAAAAAGGAACTTTAATATGTATAAACAAGGTAAATTTTGTGCTGTGTAAACTACCCAACTGGGTTTTGATTGTTTTTTTTTTTCGCAACCTATTATGAGCCCTGTGAATGCTTCATTTGTCTGTGAAGTTGGTTTAATTATATAATTCCCAAATGGAAAGATTAGGAAAACAAAAATGCATGTGCAGTTTCTTCCTAACCTTTTGAATATTTCTTAGCTTTCTGGTATAATGGAACTGCAATTATAAATATTTTCTTGGAGGACGGAGCTAAATTCGCCAATAGATTGTTGGTACTCTTATGAAATATCAGCTTAGTTATTGATAAAGGTTATAAGAACATAAACAGCTGTAAGATTACACTCCAAAATCTGCCTGAATACTAGAAGTTTTGTCCAATCAAATCTTGTACAGGTCTAAACCTACTATTTCCCACATCATGTATCAAGTTTCTTATCTAGCAGTGATCTATTTTCAGGTACACTTTGGAGTTAATAGTGGTGCTACAAGGTTTGCTATAGAGCAACAAGCAGTCAATGAGGCTACCTTCCGCTGTCCAGATGAAATGGGATGGAAGCCACAGGTCAGTGCAATGTCTTTGTACTCTCTCCTCTCTCGTGTAAATCAGGTGATTCTTTCTTATTTATTCAGATCCAACCCTACTTTGGTGTTTGCAGAAAGTTCCCATAGTTCCTGCTGATGGTCCAATTTCACGAACACGAAAGGTGAATATTCTTTTACCTTAGTCCTTTATTTTTCATGTGCACAGATTCTCATATTTCCAGTATTCTGACTCCTTAAGGAGAGAATATTATTGTGTAAAATGAATTATGATTACTTTTCAATTAAGGCTACCAAATGCTGTCAACGTGGCTACCTAATTGTTAACTGAAATTAGTTGGTACTGGTATTTCTTATTCTGAATAAGGGCTGTTACAGAATGGATATTTTTAAGCAAATTATGCACTAGCTCTCCACTTTGCGATTCAATTAGATTGTCTTTGACATTTTTAATATATGCAAGTATTCAACCAGTGAAGATGAGATAGGAATTCATAAGGGATCCATTTCATTGTTTTCTTACATATTAGTGTACATGTTTCATGAGCAATCAAAAAGCTTCGAAGTGTTTTGGGAAGAAACTCTTGCAAACTGTGTGATTTATGCCTCTCCTGAGTCTCCTCTGAAATCATAAGACCAGCTAGCAAATTTTTTTACTAAGTTACATAAAGGAGCAGGGGTGAATTATGTTTGCACCAAGCTCGAATCATATGATTTGTGTGCTTCCATTTTAGAAATGTTAATCTGGCACTTGCCACAGTTGCCATATTATATAGATCATCAATTCTATCTCATAGGTTCCTACATTGACTAGATAATAGTGTTAATATAAAGAAATAAGAGATTTATGACATTGCTGGGCAAGTGCTTAAGCCATGGAGTTAGCTTTCCGTTTGTTAAATTAAACTTTAGATTATGTTGTATAATAGGCTACTTCCGTTTGTTAGCTTCTTTGGACTGATCAAATGAGAACAAGGTCCTCCTGTAAAAAATGAGGACTGATCTCAATTCTCAACCATCCATCGGGGTTCATCAATGGTTGAGGGTTTTAGTAAACAAAAACACGGGGTCAATTTTATAATTATTGGAAACTTTTTTGAGAGTTTAGTAATGGTAAAATCCTAACTTTTGATTTCTCAAGATGGAGGGTGTAGATGTGTCCACACTTTTTACAGGAGGGGTAGGATCAAATAAGAACAAGGTCCTCTTATAAAAATGAGGACTGATCTCAGCCATCCATCGGGGTTCATCAATGGTTGAGGGTTTTAGTAAAACAAAAACACGGGGTCAATTTTATAATTATTGTAAACTTTTTTGAGAGTTTAGTATTGGTAAGATCCGAGCCTTTGATTTCTCAAGATGGAGGGTGTAGATGTGTCTACACTTTTTACAAGAGGAAGTGTTCTCACCTATATATATATGCTTGGTTCTTGAATCTTGAATGTAACGGTTGACTTTACCGTCATGGTTCTTTTGAAAACTTAGTATACATAGGTTCGCTTCTATATTTCTTCTGACATTATAATTACATAAGAACATCATGATTTTAATTTTCATCTTGATAAGAGCTTCATGGGTCACTTTTGCATATAAACTTGTTCATTTGGTTTGATGTGACCACATATATTGTAAACTCCCCTTCCCCCCTCCCTTCCATTCCCCTGAAATGTTGTACAAAACTCAATCTTGTGGTATTATGTTTTCTTTACAATATAGACTTGTCTTCCGGTTGAGGAGATCACCAAAGCATTAGCAAAGATGGGCTACGAAGTGATGAGCTCCGATGATGCAGGCCGGTTTGTTTGCAATTACGTTTACTATCATTCCTTGCGGTTTGCAGAGCAGAATGGAATAAAGTCGCTATTTGTACATGTCCCTCTCTTCTTAACTATAGATGAGGAGACCCAAATGCAATTTGCTGCTTCTTTGTTAGAGGTACTTGCCTCTGTATACTAGTCTCCTACGTGCTTGTCTGTCCTCTAAAATCCTAGCCTGTATGCGCATTTTCTGTTCTTTTGGGTGTTTATGTGAGTCGATGAGGAACACTATGTATTGCTTTAATAAATGGTCTCAAATGAATGGAAACTGCATTTGTAGTGCACATGTCGATGTAACACGTGGTTTCCGGGATGTTTTCTAAATCCTAGTAATGGTTTATATATTCGAAAGTTGTATTACTCTAGTTTGTACATTGCAGTTGTCTCCTTGCATTGTTCCTGTTACTAACCAATTTTTGCGGTAGCCACACAAGTTTGCCTGTTATATATTGCCAGTGTTTACGTTTTGGTGAGAATGCTTGCTTTATTCTATGTCTCTTGGAACTACTTTTTTGTGACCTCTGACTACAATCCAAATCTTTGTGTTCCTGTTTCCTATGATTCTGTTTCAAACTTTGTTTTGTGGCTAATATGGATTGCAACTGAATGCCACTCAGAGGAAAGAGGGAGTCTTAAAGTTAAATAGTGTTTTTTTTATGAATGAATAACTTGCAGGGATTATCGAGTTTCTACCTTATTGTAGCTTTACTCTGTAGGAATACAAGTGATAGGTGTAACTAATTCAAAGAGCCAAGAAAAGGTCATGTTTAATAATTCAAAGTTAAAAACTTCAAGAATTGCTTCAGGGATTCCAAAATGATTATTGTTAAATTCTAAATGAGTTTTCATAGTGAATTCTACATTCCCTGTGTTAGAAATTAAAATGTTACTCTCTTATATCTAAATGATTGATATCTAGGCATATTTTTTCTATATCCAATATATATACATATATGGTCTGACACTCTGACTCCATTAGAACAAGGCTTTCCATTAAAGGTGTGGGCGAGTCATCGATCTCTGCAAGATAATGGTGAAAAAAATAAGGAAAAACGGTAGAACATATGATAGTATTTTTGTAATTATCTTTGGATGTGCAGTAAGAACAGCTTGTGAGTGCATTCATGAATGTTAAGAGTCTCACATTGATAAAATAAAGGAGAATATATGAATTTATAAGGTCATTAGTTAGATTAGTTAATTGGTCAGATTTAATTTTTTAGTGTGTTTTGACTTGTGTGCATTATAGCTCAATTGAGTGACCCTGTTTTTTGTTTTTTGTTTGTATATGGATGAAGTACGAAAATATCATTGTTTTTTATTTTTCTTCTTTTCTCCTTATTTATAACCATTAGATCTTCCAATAGAAGGACAATTTGTGAATACTTTTTACCTAAGGCAATGTTCTTATTTTACCCTAAGACCAATTATTTTTTTTTAGCACATCTCTATATCATTCTATCGCATATAATTGGTCTCTGATCTATGTGTGATGGCAAATTATGCTATGCAATCTTGTGCACCATACATGGTGCACATTATTCTATGTTTATAATTACTGAATTATATGTTCATAATTGTAAAGCTATATATTCATAATTTTTGAACTTCATATTCATAATGATTGAATTCTATATTCACAATTACAGAACTCTATGTTCACAATTTTCGATGTTCATATTCTCAATTGTTGAATTTTGTATTCACAAATCACAGAACTATATGTTCATAATTTGATAACTATACAGTTTAGAAATTATGAATTTACAGTACATAAGTTATGAATCTACAGTACAGATATTATGAATCTGCAATATAGAAATTATGAATCTACTGTATAGAAATTATGAATCTATTGTATTTAAATTATGAATCTACGGTTTAGAAATTATGAATTTACAGTATAGATTTTATGAATCTACAGTATATAAATTATGAATTTATAATATTGATTATGAATCTATAGTATAGAAATTATAAACCTATAGTATAAAAATTATGAATCTATAGTATAAAAATTATGAATCCAATTTTGTGTGCACTTTGCATGGTGCACACAGTTACACAGCATAACGATCTGTGTGTGATCATGCAGGCTCTTAATAACGTTAGCAGTGATATTAAGCATTTTAATCATCACAAATTAAACAATGAGCATTGTTTAGCAGCACATCATTACTACTGAAGTCACAAGGATATTATGGACTTAATGTCATATGAGGTTCTCGAGTATATAGTGATTTTGCCACGTTTAGTCCTTAATTTTCAAATTGATCGCCCATGGTCTTTCGACTTTTAAATTATTGTCAGAGAAAATTTCAATTTTGATCACACGACTATAGAGGCTTTGTTAATTTCAGCACCTAACTTTTAAAAGTGACAATTTAGTATCTTTAGTATGTAACTTTTGTCAATTTTGCTCACTCCAGTCAAATTGCCGGCCAAATTTGACCAAAAAAATGTAATCCAACATTTAGTCTAAAATCTTGGGGGCAAAATGGTCTTTTCTATCCTTTTTCCTAATTGCCAACTACCACCACTGGTACTCCTCCGCCGTGAATTCTATAGACGGCAGCCGTCATTCCTCTCCGCTCAAGCTTGTCTACTCTTATGACTATGCGCTTCACGGCTTTAGTGATATGTTGTCGGATTGTGAACTTGAAGCCCTGAAAAAGTCTCTGGGATTTGTTTCGGCTTATAAAGATCGGAGCTTTGAGCTCCAAATCACGTACACGCCGACTTTTTTGAAGCTTAATTCCAGAACTGGGCTATGGCCGGCGTTGAAGTTTGGAGAGGATGTGATAATAGGCGTGATAGACTCTGGTGTTTGGCCGGAGTCTAGGAGCTTTAGAGATGACGGTATGCTAAAGATTCCAAAGAGGTGGAAGGGGGTTTGCAAGGAAGGAACATAGTTCAATTCTTCGTTGACAGTGTTTCCTACTTCGGCTATGCGCCGGGGACGGCGAAAGGAGTGGCGCCGCGCATGGATGAAGTAAGCGTCACTTTCGACCTCATCGCCGTCATGGACCAGGCAATAGCCGACGACGTAGATGTAATTTTGGTTTTCCTCGGTTACCGACACGTCCCTCTGTCAACACCAATTTGGAGAAAGGATAAAAAAGATCATTTTGTCCCTAAGATTTTAGACTAAATGTTGGATTAAATTTTTCCGGTTAAATTTGGCAGGCAATTTGGTCGGAGTGACCAAAATTGACAAAAATTACATACTTAAGGTACTAAATTGACACTTTTAAAAGTTAGGTACTGAAATGAACAAAACTCTATAGTCATGTGACCAAAATTGAAATTTTCTCATTGTTATTATTCGTGATTCAGATTAACCACCTATAGTCCTTCAAATTTCGAAATTTAACTAGCCACGATCCTCTTAGAAGGACCATGTGTGGCTAAAATTTGATAGTTAGAAAGATCATAGGTGGTTAATTTGAATCATGGATGGTAAAAATTTGAAAGTCAAAAGATCATGGGTGATTACTTTAAAAGTTTAGAACCAAATGTGAAAAATCACTATACTCAGAGAACTACAAATGATTAGTTTAAACCTAACCAAAATTTAGGGATCATTCATTATCTCTTTCTCCATGATGTCTCTATTGAACATGGATATATAGTGTCATATTTGTATTGTACGTTCAACATCACATTTCACAATTGCTATACCCTAGACCAGGTAGATCTTGTATTGTGGATTTTGCTCCAAAATACATTTAAATTACGTGCATACAATTAATATAATATGTACTTTCAGTTAATAAATTATGTACCTATTATAATTAACATTTTATGTATTTACAGCTAACATATTATGTACTTGTAGGTAAGTACGTTGGTAATAAATTATGTACGTATTGTGTACCTACAATAAACATATTATTGATCTTTAGTTAATAAACTTATTATATATGTACCTGCAGTAAACATATTATTGATCTTCAGTTAATAAACTGTGTACCTATTTAATTAACATATTGTGCACATTTAATTTATTTACAGATACATAATACGTTAATGAAGATACATAATATGTCAATTGTAGGTACATATTTTATCATTTTTAAACCAAAGTTCACAATGTAAAGTGAACCTTAATCCATTGTATAATTTGCCACCATTTCATATCACAATTTAAATATATGAAAAACTAATAAATAGATTGAAGTGTGATGACACCCCGGCTATCTATCCAAGTGGATGGTCAAAGGTTCAAACTTAGGTGATGGGGGCTTAGATTCTTTGAGTTGAAAATATTTGAGAAAGTATAAAAAAGATACTACCTTGTAAAGAATTATAATTATTACAAATAGATTGAACTTTTGTAATTTGGGAAGTTGTACCATTGAATAAAAAACATGTGCAATTTAGGCATCTCAATCAAAAATAATAATAATAATAATAATAATAATAATAATAATAATAATAATTGTTGAATTACCATTATTTATTGGCTACTTATAGTAAAAACCAAACAAACTGTAAAGTTACAATCGTTATATCCTACATCACGGTGCACATAGCACTGTGCGCCGCGCGCCTCCCAAAACGACGTCGTTTTGGGGTAGTGTTGGGAGGCGCGGTAGGAAGTTGCTGAGATTATGTGTATTTGTTCACAACGTTATGTATATTTGTTCACAATGTTATGTGTATTGGTTCATACAGTTATGTGTAGTTTTTATACAATTATGTACATTCTTTTTATACAATTATGTACATCCGAATCAGAAAATTTGTGTGTATTATGTTAAGAGTTGATGTGTATTATGTTAAAAGTTTATGTTTATTATGTATTATGTTAGATTATGTGTATTATCTTTTAAAAAGAGTATGTATATTTTGTTTTATAATTATGTACATTCATGTATAACATTATGTGTATTCTAGTATAACATTATGTATATTCTTGAACAGCGGGTTTTTTTCTAAAGAAAAAACTACTGCCATTCACTGGGGCGAGAAATTTCAAAAAAAAAAAAAAATTAAAACGACGTCGTTTTGCATCTGGGCGCATAGTGCAATGTGCGCCGTGGTGTAGGATATAAATTGCCGTAAAGTTAGCGTATAACATGACTGATTATAAAATGTTAGTGTTCACATGGACATTACGGGACATTTATGTGTCAAGCTAAATCTAAAGTTTTATTTTACTTATCAAAAAGTAATAATAATAATAATAAATAAATAAAAATCTAGGACTTCCCTGGCTGCAAAGGTGGAGACAACTTGACTGCCTTCTCCTCTCTAACTTTGATGAGGAGGCAGCCATGGTTGCCACCTTCTCATCCAAATTAGAGGGCTTCACGAATGCTTTTCTCTTGTTTGGATCAGGATAATTTTTAATATAAAAATTTTTATGG